GTGAAGAAACATCCCCTCCTATTCCCTGCCTAATGAACTTAGTAGTCTAAAGGGAACTACTATCAAAAATACAAAACAAATGTAAGAGCAGTTCCTGCATATTCTGTAGAGACGAAACCACTCTTGTATAAGGAACATGGTGCACTCCTCATCTTTGCCAAAGGAAGACTGAACACTGACAAGGTGTGAAGTCACACAGGCATGAATGACCAACGCATCCAGGCTTCAAACCCCGCGCTGGTGTTTTGGTTTAGCCTGGATAAACACCAGGTGCCCACCAAAGCCACTCTATCACACCCCCTCCTGAGCTGGACAGGGGAGAGGAAATATGATGAAAGGCTAATGTTATGGGTTTGTGTGGCAAGGTTTTGGTAGCAGGGGGGCTATAGGAGTGGCTTCTGTGAGAAGCTGTGAGAAGCCTCCCCCATGTCTGATAAAGCCAGTGCCAGCTGGCTCTAAGACGGACCCACCGCTGGCCAAGGCCAAGCCAGTCAGCGACAGTGGTAGCACCTCTGTGATAACATATTTAAGAAAGGGAAGAAAAAAAAAACTGCAGTGAGACCGCAGTTAGAGAGAGGAGTGAGAGGATGTGAGAGAAACAACTCTGCAGACACCAAGGTCAGTGAAGAAGGAGGGGGGGGAGGAGGTGCCCTTTGATATAGTTCACAGTTATAATTGTTCAAATCAGTTTCCATGCAGGACAACCAGAAAACAAAGACGTCAGCAGCCACTGACACGGTGATAGAAATTACTCATGTAGAACAACATGGGAAAGCTGCAGCAGAAGTAGGGATAAAACCCAACCACCAACACAATTTCAAATATTTCCATCTTTCTCTTCCAGCTCAACACCACCTCCTTCCAAGCACTCTTTCAACCAGTCTCTTTCCCATCTGCCTATAAGACCTCATGACTTCCCAAGCCCACGTTCTTTACCTTTCTGTCTGCCTCTTCCCACTCGCCGTCCTTCCTTAACATGGCTCTTACGGTTTTTCTTGAACACGTCTCCTGTATTTTTCTTTCACCTCAGTCAGGTTTAGCTTTTATCCTCCCTCACAGTACTCAGGCTTAGCAAAAAGCAGGCACAATTCAAGAAGATAAATCGATGTTTGGCAAAGCAGTAACTTATGAGAGGAAGTACTAAGCAATCTTTGCCAGAGATGCCACTACCACATTCAACACTTTGCTCTCACCTGCAAAATAAACAAAATAGCCCAGGGTCTCTTTCTGTGAGAGCGAGAGAGAAGAAAAGAGAGGTGGGAATAATGCAACCTCAGAAAGTTAGTTATGTCTTCCTTACTCTCTAGACAGATCTACAATACATTGTGATTCATTTTATTTAGAGAAGTCTGGGGACTTCAGAAAATTCACCCCAACTTTTACGGTCCCAAACAAGACAAATGCTTGAGAAGCTGAGACAGTGATCAGAGTCCACCACCAACGCCCCTGCTAACCTAGAGAGCAGAATGGGAGTCAGACAGCAGGCACAATACACTGACATTCTGGCCTCTCCCAGAGTAGGGGGCACTTGAACTGGCTACGTCAGCCTGGGTCCCAATCACTTGGGTCCACTTCTAGAGTATAAAGAAGTCTGCAAAAAACACTCCAGCTCCATCAGCCTTTTGTTGTTACACTAAAAACAAGAGTGCTGTCCGGACTTTGTATGATAAGGACCCGAATATTGGCTAATTTATTTTAAAAATACCCGTTAAAAATGAAAAAAGAAGCAGCAGCAGGAGTCCAGTCATTACATAGGTACAAGAAAATCCAGTGGCACAGGGAGTTTCCACAGACAAAGGATTTCCCACAGCCTATTGTTGGAAACACTGTGATTCAATCGCTCATTTCTTGCTCAACAGGCTGCTGATTCAACCAGAAGAGGATGCTGGTACGTTTCACCTTCTGCATTCCACCTACTGCAGCCTAAATCAACAAAAAAAACTGGCTTTTAAAAACAAGAGACTATATCTCATGCTAGTTTCTAGTTATTTACAATACATACTTTGGTTGTACAATATCATCTTTCTGTCAATGTCATTTAAAGGTACACATAATAAAATAATAAATCAGGAATTTTAACTGCCGCTGTTTCCTTACCTTGCTAACTTCCAGTTGGTCATTTCACTACAAACAGGTGGTTAGAAGGTGAAACAGAATATAATACACTTTCAGATTCACCAGCTGTATAAGGAAACTACAGACCAGAAAAAAAAAAGACAACACACAAACTCACAAAATAATCAGATAAAATGTGTTTTGCAGCTTGAGACAAATATTGTTAACACTGTATATGAAAAACAGTCTGGTTGTGAAAATGAATGACCTGCTGCAACTCCCCAGAGAAAGCCCTCAGGTAAGGAATTCAGATGGAACCAAGGAGCAAGCCAGTGGAGGCTATTTTAAACACAAGCCTTTCTACAGCTGCCTCCAGGTGCAGTCCTAAATTCAGCAACAGTATCTGTTTCCCAGAAGCAAATTTGAAGCTGTCTCTGACAGGTAACGGAGATACACTGTGCAGTTCTAGAGGCATGGCATGTAGCTAGCCTCCAAAACAAAGCACTAGCTGTTACTTTTTAGAGAACAGATTGTATCTCTGTTCTACTGCAGAAGCCTATACACATTTCTTTCCCTTACTCAGAAAGGTTTGTTCAGGGTGCTGGCAGTGGAAAGTACAATTTCCTATGGCAAGGTAGGAAACAGAGACAGAAGTGTAGCTAGAGGCTAAGAGATTAGACATTATTGACTTTATAATCCACATAGAGTCTTAAATGTGTTAAATGTCTTGGTGCTGCACTTTTAAAACCTTAGGAATGAAAGAACAGGGAAGGAGCTTGTTTCAGCAAAGCAAGGAGGAGCCTCTGACACAACATAAATGAGCTACATTAGGGAAAAAGGGGGAAAAATGAAAACCAACCCTTCTGGGACTTTTTTCTTGCACACAAGCATAAATATGCACACAACAGATGCTGCTGAATCCAGTCCTAAAAATCATGAATCTATCACCGCCATACCTAAACCTACAAAAATATCTTCACTTCAGTCAAGCAATTAAACCTGTGCTTAACTTAAAAGATCATGAGTGAATGCATCTGAAGTAAACAGGATTTGCATGCTTTGTTGGTGAAGGCATGGGCTTACTCTTTATATTTCTAGGGATGAAGAAAGTGTTTTGCTGATATACAGAAATAATGAAAGACGTCACATTATAGAAAATTACTTGAAATTCCTATTATAACAATAACACACCAATTAGTTAATAGTTTACAATAAAATTATAAACCTACTATGTTTCACTCAAGTCTGAATATACTTCATTCATCTCTAATGATGTGAGGACTACGTTACGTTCCACTAGGAAAACTTTAAAAGTGAGCAACATTCCAAATAAAAGGAAAAAGTTCTGATCCATACAGTTTCTGACAAATATAAACTAGGAGGTCTGCAATTATGGTGACATCTGAGTTGAAATGTATATTTAAAGACTGCCTGGGGAACAGTGACTGTATTTAATGCTGTCCAACATTTGCTGATGTAGACACGGTTTCCAACTCCTTTCAAACATACAATATTTAATTATTTGAATGAAGATTTTTCAGTTAAGCATCTGACTCAGGATGATTTTAAAAATTTATTAAAGGAAAACCTTTCTACAAAACAAAAACCATGTAGGCATTTCTCACAACAGAACTAGTGGAAAATGCATTGTTTTACTCTCCCAGTTTTCTTTTAAAAATAGCAAAAAAGAATAGCAAGATAATAGTAAGGCAGGTTTAATTGAAAAGCTGTACTACCTTCTTGCTTTGAAATACAGATTTCACATCTTGAAGGCAGAATCAGGGATGTGCTTTTGCCTTTTCTAGGAAAAGCCATACAAAACTGACACCTAAAAGTCTACTTGCAGACACTAAAAGAGGTTACTGAGAAAGTTGAGTTCTCCAAGCACAATGTGGGCCAAAAATTGAGTGATCAAGCGCAGACTGCACTGACACTGACTCTTCCAACGCCTGGGTCTGCCGTGGAGCCTACCCTTCCAAGGCCTGGCTCGCTGATGGCCAGGCTGTGAGGATCTGGAGCGAGAGAACGGAGGAGCTGCTTTCAGGGGGTGGTCAGGGACAGCCTGAGCGAACACAGCAGCAGCAGCAGCGCACTGGAGCCGGGCTAACGAGGCTGCAGAGCGGAGCGGAGTCCACGGGCCGACAGCCGTGAGGGAACACGCGGTAATGCCAAGCGGGAACGGCCCGCGGCGAGGGGAAGCGCGCG